TCCCTTCCTAAGTGTATTGACATCTTCTTTTTGGCATATCTTTGGTATGTAACGGTGTAGTATGAACACATAGTATCTACACTCACTCACTCACTCACTCACTCACTCACTCACTCACTCACTCACTCACTCCTGGTAATACTGGTCTGTTTCAGCTTCATGTGTATGTGATTCAGTGGGGCCACTCGGCCCACCATCTCAGATAAGAAGTTGTATCTTGTCCGTTTTGCTCTTGAAGTCTTCTGTCTTTACCAAAACAACGCTATGTCCTCAATCTCATGTCATTACATCCCTTTGTTAGAGCTGCGATGTGATTGGTTGGGAAAATTCCAACAACCTCATGTGATGGTGAGTGTTGAGATGTGTGCGTGTAGTGATTGGCGCCCCCTCCCCCCGTCCTTCCCAGGGGTCGCCACAAGGATATCATGTTTTGATAGGAGGTCCTCGTAAATCATCATTTCGCCAGGTGTGTCCTGGGATCGGGCGGAGGAACGCTACAGGTACGTCCACCAGGGAACCAGGAAGCTCCCGCCTTCATTCCCAGCGCTCTTCAACTCTTCAGTCAGTGAGCTTCCCCGCGAGGGTCGAGTCTTCGGCGGTCCTGGAGGTCCTCACAAATCTCTTCCCCCACTCCTATCCTTGGATTAGACAATGCGACATTACAAAGGTTCAATAATGTAGCATATATTGGACATTTAAATCACATCTGTACCAATGATGACCAATAAAGCTATAGTTTAAATATATAAATTGAGAGCATATGCTGTCCACCTCAACTGTCTGTAATGTTTTGCATTTTACATTGTGACTAATTATATTGTGTATACATATTTTAGACACAATAGAGATACTACTATATACTATATTATACTACATACTACTGGCCTGTACTTTCTGCGGTGACACCTGAATTTCCCATCTGGTATGTGATAAGATAAGTATATCTTAACAAAATAAGTATCTTATCTTATCATAAGATAAGTATATCTTAGCTTATCTTAAGTGCCTCATGTACAATGCTTAACACTACTTCCTTCCATCTCTCATCTCCTCCCTCCTTTTCCCCTCCCTCCCTACCTGCTTATACACACACACACACACACACACACACACACACACACACACCTGGCAGCGGCAATCTCCGCCCCCCTTCCTCTGGCTCCGCCTACTCCACCTTCCAGATGGCGATCTTGCCGTCGTGTTTCCCGGCGCCGCTGAGTGCGTAGCGGTCCTCGGCGGAGCAGAGCGTGGTGACGCGGTCGGCGTGGCCGTGCAGCTCCTTCAGCACCAGGTGGCGCTCCGCGTCCAGAATGTACACCTTGCCCTTAGCAGAGCTGCGGGCCACGCCCCCGATCCACACCTGCCAGGTAAGGGAGGGGGGAAGGGAAATGGAGATTAGCTGTGTGTGTGTGTATATGTATGTGTATTTGGGGATGTGTTTATGTGTGTGTGTGTGTGTGTGAGTGAGTGCATGCGTGCACATGTCAGTGTATGTTATACAATCCTATTTAAATGGATCAAAATCTGTGTGTGTGTGTGTGTGTGAGAGTGAGTGTGTGTGTGTACCTGGTTCTTAACCCGGATCATGCAGAAACAGCCACTGCAGTCCTGCAGCTCCACCCGCTGGTAGGGTTTGGTAGCGTCCTTCATATGCCACACACACACTTCCCCCGAGTCCATGCACACACTCCACACCTCCTCCAGCTGACACACACACAACATACACACCGACAGTTCATATTGTAATGAGTTGAGTTACAATGTTGTGTGTGTGTGTGTTAGGGATTATTTATTTCCCGGTAAAATCTAAATTTTTCATTCCTGAGAATTTAACCTCTCTCTCCTGGGAAATCCTGGGATTAGACTTTAATCACGATTGCACACACACCAGAGAAAAATGTTCCCTCTGAAATGTGCTGAATTAATGCTTGCATTACAGTTCTCCATTAACTCCTGGCTGCAGCATTAGACTAGGAGGTGACAAGAGATGACCTATATTATATACTGGTGCTGTGTGTGTGTGTGTGTGTGTGTACCTCAGGTAGCAGCAGGATGGAGCTGAAGGTGGCTCTCTGCTTCTCAGGGAGACTCATGCTGTGCTTCAGAGAGCCGTTCCTCCACACCTCCATGATACTGTCCCTGGAGCCTGGGAGAGAGACACCCAGGGGGAAGGGAGGGAGAGGGAGAGACATACAGGTACAAAGGGTAGACAGAGAATGATAGAGAGACACAGACAAAGACAGAGAGACATGAGAATGATAGACACAGAGATAGTGACAGACACAGAGAGAAATTCAAAGACAGAGAGAGAGAATTAGATAACACCACTAATATTAATAAGGACAATGACGTCTCAGTAAGTAAGTGTCTCTACAGAAACATTATATGCGAGTTACTTACAGCACCAAAGGCCACCGTTGTGACTGAAGACGGACAGCAGGCGGTCACAGGACAGTCTAAACTGTTTCTTCACCTTCGCGACAGAGAACACAGCTTTTAGCCACGACTGAATATTCGCTTTTACTGTGAGCTTTGTATAAAAGTGGCCCAGGAAGCTACCAACTAAACTAAACACATCTGTGCCTACATTTATTCATGCTTACTTTTTAGTTGTGCTTTTACACACAATGCGAAACGTGTGTGAATACTGCCATCTAGTGGCCAACATGAAATAAAAGGTGTGATGCTTCTAAGTTTGAAAACAGTTTGAAACTACATCCCAAACTCACAATCTACTGCTTCATACTGACCTGCAGCGTGGCCACGTCCCACAGCATGACGCTCCCCTCCGCGCTGCACGAGTACGCCACCTTCTGGCTGGAGGACAGAAGGAACATTTAATAATCAATCTCAGAGGAAAGAAAAACCACCATCACTAATTTGAATTGTGTTCATCATTTATATGCCGCCACTACTATTGAACAAACCATAATGTATCAACTATTGTGTGAAACAAGTGTGTGCATTTGCGTGCGTGCATACGTATGTATGTGTGTGTGTCTGTCTGTCTGACCTGTACTTGTCGGCTCCCAGGGTCAGGCCAGTGACCTCGGTGCGGTGCTCGGTCAGCTGTTTGTTGCACACCATGGACACCACGGTGATGATGTAGATCACCGAGTCCTCAGAACCCATCCAGACCTGGTCCCGGTCCACCTCCAGCATGCAGTTCTGGACACGAGCACATTCAATATTATCCAAATTGCAATATGGCCGAGTGCAATAATCCAAAAGGGCAAAAAAATAAATATAAATGATGTACTGTAGTTCTCCAGATGTAGGAATACATATTTGTTTGGTACAAACCCCAATAAATGTCACATCATGATTTGAATAGTTTTCTCAATAAAAATGAATATTGTGATGCAAAAATGTTCATTCCCACCCACTAAAAGTGAATCATATTGCAATCGCAATATCTGTAAAAATAATAGCAATGTTATTTTGCCATATGGTTCAGCTGAGTTCCAGTAGTCTATTATAGAAAAGCTATGGGGCTTGTACATCAGGGTGCATCATGGGATTTTTTGTTGGCGATACTCCGCCATATTGAGAGTCCTCCAGAGGGTTGTAGCGCTGTAAAGTCCTAAATCAACGTCAATGTACCGTAACCTAGGCTCATAAAAACGCAGTTTTGCCACGTCTCGCATGAGAAACGCTGCGGCGGCTTCAAACACAACAATGTCTCCAAAAACAATGGGGGGAAGTATACTGGATCCAGGTTCGATCCCCACTGTTGGTGGGGATCGGTGCTCCATAATGACAGCGTCTGCTGAATAACTAAAGAGTAAATAGCGGGCCGGTGAACTAACTGCTCCTATGCCATGGTACAGCCAGAAACTGTGAGTCTCCTTACTGTCCACTAGGTGGCAGCATTGTTCTAAAAATATAGAAAAGTCACTTTGCTCCAGTTTACAGAAGTGTCAAGTCTATTTATACATTTAGTGTTGGGTTTGTTTTTGTGAACTTCCTTACCGTGACTAGAGTAATTAGTTACCAATAAAGTGTACAGAAGTAAGACATTCACATTTGACGGTATTTCGCCTCGGTACAGGGAAAAGGTTTGTGCAAACATTTCTGCATTTCTCACACATACACGCAAACACACCGACAGCCAGCTAACATATCGCATGGGACTGTGACCAACATGTTTAGCGTGGAGGTCAGTGAATTAGCGCGGCCTTTTGAACTCTCCCTCGATGGTCTTCACGTGTCTTACTGTGCACCTACTTCTGAACGCACAAACAGGTTCATTGCAATGTTGAGCGTCTCTTTTTTTCTGTTTCTAAAAAATTATTTTTGTCCCGCTTTTAGGTTCTTGGCGAATGTTTATCGAGACACAGAGGGACCGTAAAAAAGAGACGTAGAGCATATAATTTAGTTAACAAAAAAAGCATTCAAAAACAAAGAAGACCGCATCTATGGTGCCTGTGTGTGTGTGCATTTTATGTGTGAGTGTGTGTATTTATGTGTAACTGTGTGTGTATGTATATGTGTACAAAAGTGTGTCTTTGTATACGTGTGTGTGCATGTGGGTGTATTTTATGTGTGTGTGTTTTATGCGTGAGTGTGTCTGTGTGTGAGCGTGTATTTTGTGTGTGTGTATTTTATGTCAAAAGTGTGTGTGCGTGAGAATCTCACCAGTCTCGCGGTTCCGACCTGGAGACAGGTGTGTGTGAGGGACCAGGTGGAGGCATCGAACACCATCACCTTACCTCTGCTCACCGACACCCACAGCTGACCTGGAACACACACACACACACACACAGTTTTCAAAACCTCATATCGGAGTACTTAAGTGTTGAACCGGCGGACAGCCAATAGGACCAGTGCCAATATAAATACCACCGCTAAGCACCCAGCTAGACCTCACCTGTTACTGATACATTTAAGCACTGCACTGAATGTAATGCACTGTACTACCTAGAAATCTACCAAGAATAAGGAATAAGGAAACTGAAGACCAATTAGAGGTTGGTTTACAGATTATTCATTCATAGGCTTGGTGGCACCAGTGGGAATTGAACCTCTAACCTTGGCAGTGTAAATGCCATGCTCTGCCAGCATAGCCAGGACTGACAGGACTGCACTGTACTCAACATTACAGTGAAAAAGTCTTAACAATGCACTCCACTGTGACTGGAAAAAATGTTGGCTATTTTTCTTCTTCTGCGTATTTACTTCAGAAATCCTCCATTCTTGTACTGGTTAGTGGTTTGAAATGTATTCATGTCCACTTCCTTTTGCCCTTTCTGTAACAAAGGCGATGGATAACTCTTCCGCCTGAGTTTCCTGCAGCCAATCCACTGCCGTTAAAAACCTCACCGAGAGGGAAAAGTAAAAAAATACAGCTTTATTTCCATTTTTACTTTATAGGTGGAGGAGAAAGAGAAAGAGAGAGAGAGAGAGGAAGAGAAAGAGAAAGAGAAAGAGAAAAGAGTTGATGGAGATTTGGAGAAAGTTTGAGTAGAGGAAGAGGGGATGAGGGAGGAAGGAAGGGGAGGGATGGGAAGGTAGAGGACAGTGGAAGAAAGGTCAGAGACAGAGAGAAGCGAGAGAAGCGAGAGAAGCGAGAGAAGCGAGAGAAGCGAGAGAAGCGAGAGAGAGAGAGACAGAGGGAGAGAGAAAAGAGAGCGGGGAAGTAAAGTTGAGAGTCAAAGCTGAGAAAATACAGGGAGGAGGAGGGCTGCAGTTTGGCCCTGTGCCGGTGGTTTGAATCCTCTGACCTATATTCAGCGAGGAGGACCAATAGGAGGAGAGCAGAGAGGAAGAAGGACAGCACTTGTTACAGTTTCTAGCAACCAAAAAGAGCTGACAACTGCAGAAAAAGTTTCCTGACGTTTGTCCGACAGCCTGCAGGGGTTTGTATACAGCAAACCCCCATCTGTTGAACTCCACATTTCTATTTTCAATTTTACACTGCAGCCCTCGTTTTTGTCCGCCTAATACGTTTAAAGAACAGTGTGAAAATGTTAGAAATGAAAAAGTGGACAAAAAGTCACGGCTTTTACTGAGAATGTTTCATCTTTAACGTTTATTTAAATGCTATTCAGTTGTAACACTCATAGTGTTATCGACTGGTATATAAACTAAGGTGTATCCAACAGCTGTCCTTGATAAAGCTTTTAAAAACAATTAAAAAAACACTTCCTGACACTGGACATTTCCAACTAGAAAAAAAAGAAAACAGCCACGTTTGTGCCTCATTCTGAAACGCCTTAGCCCGGCCTCAGTTCACCGCTGTGTGTGCTACTAAATACTACCATCTGTCTTACCCTGCGGTTTCCTTTCATGCTGGAACTCCCACCGGTTAACATGGCGGGTTTATGATATCAAACACAAACACCGCTTGGGAGAAAACCTCTGCTCCATTTATGCCCAACCCTATGCCCTCCTACACCAGCCAGCACCATGCTGACATGAAGCTAGAATAGAAATGCTTTTCAGACTTATTTGTGTAGTAGTAAGTTAGTAAGCAATACCAATATACACACACACACACACACACACACACACACACACACACACACACACACACACACACACACACACACACACACACACACACACACACACACACACACATCCTTTTAAGAAAAGTAAATATACATATGATACCCAACATAACTGCAATATACATTGCAGGTTACTGATATACTTTTCTTAGTTTTTATCTTTTTTCCATGAGTCATCCCCCCAGCATGCTGGGTCTGAGCTCCATAAACAACAAGGAGGGGACTTTGTGCCTGGACGTATTCACTGTTACAGCGGTTAATCTCAGAGAACTAAACCCAATCTCCTTCCTGTTGGTCCACTGAAAACTAAACCTAATCTTCCTATTGGTCCACTGAAAACTAAACCTAATCTCCTTCCTATTGGTCCACTGAAAACTAAACACAATCTCCTTCCTATTGGTCCACTGAAAACTAAACCTAATCTTCCTATTGGTCCACTGAAAACTAAACCTAATCTCCTTCCTATTGGTCCACTGAAAACTAAACACAATCTCCTTCCTATTGGTCCACTGAAAACTAAACCTAATCTCCTTCCTATTGGTCCACTGAAAACTAAACCTAATCTCCTTCCCATTGGTCCACTAAAGACTAAACCCAATCTCCTTCCCATTGGTCCACTAAAGACTAAACCAATCTCCTTCCCATTGGTCGACTGGCGTAGGGTTCTCAGCCTGTTTGCAGCTTCCCGCCGGAAAAGATGGCCACTTTGTTTGCTATTGTTGTTGTAAGTCAAGGTTCAGCTCGATTGTCATGTTCACATGACGAGAACAATGAGCAGCAGTTATTAATATTAATGAAAAGCTTAAGTTTTTTTCCAGATTTGACCGGCCACTCAATAGATTACCATTGGGTTTTTTTTAGCTGATGAGTAAAGCACATCTACCAGCCATTTGCATATTTGACCAGCATTTGGCTAGTGCTCATTGTGTGCCCTGCTTCCGCAACAGTGCCAACTAGTAACAGCAAACAAGTAAAAATATAAAAAAGTTGTGTGTGTGTGTGTGTGTGCGCTGCCCGTTCTTAAAGGAGAGCAAGAGACAGACAAGGAAGTTGTTAAAATATCTGTGTCTGTGTGTTTGTGTGTGTGTCTGCATGTGTGTGTGTGTGTGTGAATGTTACTGTAGATATGAACTTCAGGAGGGAGAGGTGACAAAACGAGACAAGAGGTCAAGCGAGTGTGTGTGTGTGTGTCTTTCTTTGTCTCCATGACGGTGTGTGCGTCTCATGCTTCATAATTGAATCACAGTGAAGAGGGCCGAGGAAATTCCCCAGAAAGGTTACCGCAGCCAATCAAGTCACATTGTGTCCCAGACCAACCAATCACAGCGTGCAACCTGACACCTCAACCAATGACACGTTGCCAACAGAATCTGTGACATGGTTGCTGGGTTATGAGACACCTCATGAGATCTATGTCACATACATTTTTGTCTTTGTATTTGTATAGAAATGTATAGCATGCCTTTGTCAGTATAATCTCTGTACAGAGTACAGACCTACACATGTGTGTACATGTGTAGGTCTGTGTGTGTGTGTGTGTGTGTAAGTATGTGTGTGTGTGTGTATGTGTGTGTGTGTATAAAGTGTGTGCGTGTGTGTGTGTACCTGGTGTGTACAACAGAACGTCCACAGCGTGAGGTGTAGTGAGCTCCACGGAAGGGTTGATCTTGTGTTTCAGCACCTCCGCCGTCGTCTGGGGAACCATCATCGGTACTACACGCACACACACACACACAAAAAAGAGGATTTGATCACACACAAATTTGCCATTTCCTGGTCTAACATGACTCATTTGCATGTATTTGAGCTGAACACCTCTATGAACAAACACACGCAGCTCGCAGTCCACCGAGCGTGAGGCCTGGGAACTCAGCCGTGAACGTGTCTTAATGTGCTGGATATCTGATATCCAGGTGCCCCTTCAGGCTGTTTACCAGGCAGGGTTCCTACTGCAATCTCAGCCAAACCATCTCGTTGGTTTTGTTCCTCAAGTTACCGCTGGCTTAGTTCTAGGGCTGCAGCTGACGATTATTTTCATTGTCGATTATTCTAACAATAGTTTTAAGAAAATGTCATAAATAATAGCAAATGCCGTCACAAGTTACCAGAGTCCAAAGTGATGTCTTAAATGTGCTTGCTTCATCTGACAAGCAGCAAGGAAAACTAAAGTATTTATTTAATAAAGATCCATGAACCAAACATCTGAATTTCCGAAGCATCAAGCAACAAATGTTTGGTATTTGTACCTGGTAAATTACTTAAACGATTAAACAGTTATAAAAATTGTATTCAAATAATTTTCTGTCGATCGACTAATCGATAATTGTTGCAGCCCTATAAAGCGCTTCATTGAACATACTGCGAACCCATGCATGAACAAATATTTGATCTAAAGAGGCATTGTATTGGTCCAGACAATATTGACTTTTATTTGTGGTACAAAAGTACCACAAATAAATGGCCTCCCTCATCCTCATCAACACTATCCTCATTTTCATCATGATACTCCTCCTCCTCATCCTCATGTCCATCATCATCATCATCATCATCATCATCATCATCATCATCATCATCGCTAATATTACTTTCAATATCATGTCCAATGTTACTTTTCTATTTTAGTTTATTCTAATAGACACTGGTGTTAGCATTTACCACCACCACCCCACTCTACCTTCTGTCTTCATGCGGTCAAAGTGGGCCAGTTTGGAGGCAGCGTAGATGGCTTTGCTGCTCTGCAGGCTGCCCACCACCGCGTCCATGAGCAAGGCATTGGTCAGGGCCTGCTGCATGTACTGGGGATCCTAGAGAGAGACGGAGACAAACCGCTATATTTAACATGTAAGGGATAATGTACAGCGAGCCGCTCATTATTGTGAAATAAACCGCGGAGGGGTTTGCATCACACTGAAGCCTGATTACACGGCTACTTACTAAAGAAATCAATAATTTGACACAAAATATAACGCCAAAAAATGATTTTATTGATTTAAAATGTTATTGCTTCCGCAAAAAAAAATAGCCCATTAGATAAAGATAGAGAACTGTGTCCATAGCAACGGTCTGTTATTCATAGCAGTGGTCTGCTCTCCAGAAATAACAGACCGTAGAATGAACCAATCAGAATTGAGTATTCAACAAAGCTGTGTGATAAAGAGCGGGATACACAGAGTGAGAGACAGAGGGAGGGGTAACAGAGGAGGGAGTGAAAGAAGGAGGGAGGAAAAGGGAGAAAGTCAGGGAGTGAGAGAACGAGGAGTGAGTGATGCATAGAAGGAGGGAGAGACAAAGAAAGAGCGAGAGCGAGAGAGAGAGCAAGAGAGAGGGAGGGAGGGAGGGAGGGAGGGAGGGAGGGAGGGAGGGAGGGAGGGAGGGAGGGAGGGAGGGGTTGTTTTGTGGACAGAATGAAGCGTGCGTTCCTGGGCTAAATTAGCTGCAGTGGTTCAGCTGGTTCAACAGGCTGGCTACTGAAAGCACATTCCTGACATACTACAGACACACACATACATACCATGCCTCCATCACCTGGAGGTAGCGAAGGGTCTGAGCACACCCAGCA